TATTTATCATACAAGTTTTTCCAGTTTTCGAAACGCTGTTAGATCAGATACCTCGAGCAGTTTACTTATTGGCGTTAACACAGTAGACTTTTTAGTAAAATCCCATTTTGTCCTAGTAATAAAAAAAAAACGTGAATGCAACTATTATGTAGTGTTTTTAACCACGCAAAAACGCACGATTGCGCTACAAACGACGCCTTTCAGTGTGCGTTGAGGTTTTTTTTAAACCTCAACGCACACTGAAACTAACCTAGATTAAAGACAGTCTACACTCTAAAAATTCAGGAATGATTGTAAGTACTCTACAGGATAGTGTTTCCTGGTTTATGGAACGCCATGGCTATCTAGGGTCATACCTTTTTCCTATTTAAAATTTGAGTATTCTACTTAGATGTTAGTTAAGCACCACTAGTAAGGACCACCTGGGGGCACCCTGGTAGGGTTTTTTGCCTCTCCAAACTTAGTTGATCCCGAGCAAAAGTTTTACCCTTTCCGCGTGCTTAAGGGATCGCATCTAAAATCGTCTTAAAGCCTACCACTATATTTTCAACCTTGTGACTGCAAATCTCTCTAAAGTTCTGAGATAAACCCACAAAAATTCCGTAGACATCAAACCTGATCGCACATAAACTAGAATGACTTCTATAGATACTTTCATATAAATCTGGGAAGCCTTTTTGCAAAGTGTCAGTGTTCTGTGCGCCTACCCCAACTATATACACTATCATAAGTAGTTTTTTTGAAACCATTATGTCGTTTAGTGAACTTTAATCGGTCAACGTCTAACAGGCAGCGGTTCACTGATAGAGCAGATATTATCGTGAAAACAGTTTAGACGATTGTAAGATATGGAGACACTGATGTAAGGCGCGTGTATTTCGGTATATTCGTTGTTTTGCAGCCCTAGACATAGTAATCGTGTGATGCTTGTCCAGACACACACGACGGGTGCTAAAAACTGGGTTCTGGAACCGACACGAGAACATGGTCAAGTTATATGGGTGGACACCTAGTCCATTGTTATACCAAGCTTCTTTCTTCACGAAGAAGATCTTTCCGTCGAGAACTATTAGCATAACAATGAAGATGCTGCCCACTGTGCTGATTCAATCTATGCATTTGATCCTTGCAATTGTTTCCTTCCTTTCTTCATATACTAAAAATATACCGTATAGCTTGCTTACCGTACATATCAGACACGACATGTTGGGCCAGGTTGCTCACATTAATGGCTTCATTGTCGCAGAATGGGTAGACTGGGACTAACATTGACACGAACTCAAGGCTAAGATAGGATATGGATGAGCTCAATAATTAAACAATAATATCCAATTTGTCGTATTCATACCAAGAAAACCTATATTCGGGACTGTTCGAAAACGATACACTGCGATATTAATCATCCCGCTGAAGTTGGAGCTTAAAAACAGATCAACAGCATTCAAACAACCTTCAATCAAATCTTCAAAGATATAGACAACTCAAATCGAAATCGACAGTCTGGCACAAAAAATCAGAAAAACTCCCGTAAGATATAAGGCAAAGAGGCACACTTCCTCGGGGACTGATAAACTACATTTGCTAACAAATTTTGTGTCATTCAACAAAATACAAAGCATTTTCAGGAAGTCGGTGTTCGTGGGTAGCGGCACACAGACCATGGGATATTTTGATATGCGGAAGTGTTCTCCATATAGTTCAATGACTTTTTTAAACATGCAATAGAAAATGTTCAGCGCTGACGCAGCCTAAACTTTCAAGTGACGCTTTTATTTTATTTCGTAATGTGCAAGCTTGCCACCAAAACTAGCGATTCGCTCGTCGAGAATGTCTTTCGCCTTCATTATCGAAGCTTTCCATTAAAAAGTTACTGAACTGACCTAGTTAAGTTGTTTTGATATTAGCTATAATCACAACTGCGACTTAAACACATAGCGAAACTTTTGCAACTATTACAACATCGTTTTGGAGTCTACGTTACCTCCCTTGCCTTAATAACATTTCGATTTGTTTAAATCGAACTATTTCTTATAGGACGCATCTGTGGTGGCAGTTCGTCTGACTAATGGCTCTTGGCGGCTACACGGCAAAAACAAACAAATACTGAGGGCGCCACTGTCACAGTAATATACATCTACCACGATACAGAATTATTCGTTACAAGATATTTCTTTAACTAATAGTAGTACCCTTACTATGAAAAAAAAAATAAGGAAAAATCGCTAAGCATATATGGTAAAGCATAAGCTGTTTAGCTGTGAGGTTTTCGGTGCTTTCTTCGTTACACCCTCTTTAAATGTATATTCTATATATCAAATATATTCTTGCCTCTAGCAGTCTAGCGTGTAGTGTTTCTGCTGAAGGGAACTTTATCCAAAGCGAGTTATCACTCTGGTTTTCGCCTATGTGTGACTGAAGCCGTTTGGAGCACTAAGTATATTGTTTATTAATTGTTTGCACAGCTGATTTCGACGTTCACTTACAGCTCCTACCGGCTTTTAGTAGCCCGTGCGATAGTTCCGCTACAAGCAGCTGCTGTTTTCGGGTAAGCCGTCAGCTAGTGTCTCAAATCTTCTCACTGCAATGTTAACACTTCGTCTATTTATCATCAAATTGGTGATGCACGCTGGCGCTTGCCAGCAAGCTCTGAATTCAGTGCACGAGGTCCTCAATGAGCCATTGATCAGATCCCAAAAATATCGTGCTGAGGCGATTCAAAGCACCTACATTGACACGTGTCCTTTAGAGTCCGGGTGCTCTTTTGTTAATTCTAGCATCACACAAGCGTCTAGGACTGAGCTGAGGATAACCACAATTGAAGCAAGTAACAAACTCGAATTAGCCATTAAGAACGTTCAAGAAGTTACGAAAAAGGAGATTGACAATATCGCCTCTAGCATCAACGAAGTTTTGCGTGACGTTAAAAACAACGCTATTAGAACAGTCGCATTAGTAGAAGCTATCATGCATACAGCCATAGTAGCGACTGGCAATAGCAATTGCAAGCAATCTTATATCCACAAGAAAAAACACGAGATTCTTGGTAGTACTCAAGAATCTCTGTTTATGGTTCTCACTAGTATAGAGATTGGTGGTTTGAGAATGACCGAACTCTTGGAAAATGGCAAGGCTGCCGTGTACGACGCCGTCAGCGACGGTCGTTTCGACATGGGAGAGGCCATTAAAGACACATACAGAGCGATCGACACAACCCTCGATAGAGTTGAAAAAATGATTAGAGAGAACAAGGCAGGCAATTGCTCGGTGGGAGGAATCCCCGCAAGACCAGATTCGATCTTAGACTTTTTGCGGTGATGGCACGTTCTAGTTGCAGGATTTTGATCGAATCAAAGTTATCTCATCCCAGAAAAAGCAGGTGCTGAATAATATGGTTCAACCAGAAATAATGTAGGTGAATAATTTTGAAGTTGAACTACAAATATGGTATTATATTATAAATAAATTTTTACATAATTTCTTCATTATGCGTTTTACTTTGGGTGGATAAATTGCTGTTAAGGCCTTTGCTGATTCGGCGTTTGCATGCGATAATGCGTAAACTATAATGAAACGAGTACACATTTCAAAAGACTTTGTACCATTTTGTTGGATGAAACAAAAGCATTCTTTCTCACATGAAATCCTTTAAAGGTCGAATTGCACCGTCGGAAATGAACATATTCGTTTCGGGCTTGACCTAATTTTTTTGGAAAGTTTTTGGATTTCTAGCCGTCCGTGTACTTGTAGGTTATACGAGAAACTCGGAAGTCTGTTAAAAAACGGTTCGTTATCTGTTTCTAGGAGGCGCTTGGTCCCTAATTTCTTTAGTAACAAAAAACACAGCAAACATATTTCGAGCTCTTAAAAAAGAGTTCTTTCGGCTGTTCCTAAATCTTTTCTCAAGCTTTACACTTATATTGTGGGTTCTCCGTACGTTACATGTAGGCACTCAAATAATATGATGGCCATCAAATAATGAAATGCGAGGCAAGCGCCACGTAACTGTTCCTGAAGTCTTAATTAAAGAATTTTCCCACAACAACCTAACCTTATTGAACATAGTTTTCTATGTTCATTAAGATTAGTTTATGTGAAAAAATAAAATTTTTTGCTTAACTTTTTAGAACTTGATAATGGCAACTGTAACAACTAACATTTGTTTGTTACATTTTCAAAAAAAATTACATTCCTATTTAAAAACTGGTTTGGACGGATTTTTTACGGGTTTGGTGAGAAAAACTAATCTCGTTATTGCAAATCTTGCGTATGTACAATTATCTGTATTTATTAATTGACAGGACTTCTGTAAAATTGCTTCGATGGCCGAAAACGGGAACAGAGTTAATTATCGGCCGCATTACGATTCTTTGCACGCGAATATAAATTTATTCGTATATCAAACACGCTTATGATATACGGGATTACCTGTCTCAGGTATACAAGCTTAAGAACTAACTCGAAATACGATCCCTAAGTGAATCAAGAGGTCTATCTAAAACAAGCCAAAGTTGAGAGAAGCACCTTTCAAAACCAGAAGTGGAAATACTAATTTTGGATTTCAGCAAACGGCATTTGTTTGTGCGTTTTGCTGAAACGCCAGGTACCTGTGACCTATCTGTTTTTATGTTACTGTATATGGATTGAGAGCTTTTGAGTATGACTGAAATCCAGAATCTGCAGTAATGTTAAACCCTGGTAAAAATGTAATGATCTGCTAACGACAAATAACCCGTATTTATTGAGATAAATTCAATGAAAGGGCTAATTATAGTAATCAATAACTAGGACATGCTATGTTCTTGTGCATCATTCCTCTTAATTAGTGTATTTTATTTTAAAAAATGTTCACGGTGGCGGGAGGACACATTTGGATGGGTCCTTACCGGGTTGAGACTCGTCGTTTGATAGCTCGATACGCTTATGCTTCGGTCGAGGGTCTATTTATAATATAGCGGTAATTGCCAACGCTAGCTATATCGATTCTGAGATATTAGCATAATTTCTGTTGTTCCTAAGACCTGATTATATCGTAAGTGCTATTATCGATTAGCTAACAGATCTTCATTTCAGGCACCTGTACCAGTGACGTAGACGAAAGATACCAAAAATGCATAAAATGAAAGCAATGTGTGTAGTGTGATTTTATGGCATCGTAGAGTGATCAAGAGTATCGCTGTTGGCATTCACGTTTTTCGTACTCGAATTCAACGTTGGCCAGAGGTCAGATATACCCAATAACGAGATAAGAATGACTTTGCACAACTGATAGTGCGCTCGTACAAGAATCATCGCTTACGAAAGGTCAGTACACCGGTTTCCATAAGGCCATATCCTATTTTAAATGTTGTTCTTAACCTTATGTACGAAATGTACAAATTTCTCAAATCTAATAGAAATATGCCTGATCTGTAATATCTAGTGTAGACTGTGTTTCGCCGCTATATAGCCGCCTGTATTTTGATGACTACTGACAACGAAAGAACGGGTTCGAGATAGTGGACAAGTCTACTCATGCACCAACTGTTAAAATAGTGGGCAGATCAATCCCTGAGAAAGATATTCATTGAATGGCGGCTATTGAGTATCGTAGCATTTTTCTTTCGAGTCGGTTAGTCCTATATATACAGATTGTGTAGGCACAATACTTGCACGCGTAAGAATTTAGAAACATTGATTCTGCGTCAATATGTCGCTATCTCAGCGTTCCGTCAATGTGGCCGTTTCGGCTTTTATCCCAATAGGTATATTCATCGCCATGGCTGATTTGTCAGCCAGAAGATGTTTTGTGCTAATTAAACTTCTTTCCCAATTTGCGCTTAAACATTTCGTCGTTTTTCTTGAATAGTGTAACCTTATCAAGCTTTACGTTGACTGGATGTATAGCGATGGATACAATTAGACAGTGGGTTAGCAATGATATTTCTACATCGAATAAGCTCTGTCGAGCCGAACAACATTACGCGCTGTAAAGTACGCTTAATATACAAATTACGGCCATTGGTTCATAAATGAATTTTCTCTAATTCATGAGATTGTAACAAGATTTCTGCGAGCCCTAAAACTATTTAGCTCTCCAAAGCATCGATCATTACAAAAGAATCATTTACAAAAACACGACTTGAACGGCTTCAAGCTTTTTAAGTTTACGTTAACCATGTTACTAACATGTATCCTAACATAAGGACAGAAATTTTGTACGTGAAACAGAGTCTTAAAGCTTGAAAAGGATACAGATGGCCCATTTTTACTCTCTAATGTTAACGCAATAGACGTGTCTAATGCTACGCAGTGGCCGTACGAATATCAGCCATAAAATATGATATTACGTTTCCATTATAATTTGGCTCGTAACTTGATTAGAAATAACCGAGCCGTTGTTAAATGCTAATAAAGCAGAATTCAGTAAGTTAAGCGTTAGATACATTTGAGCTGGACAGCGTACAAAAGCGTGCAAGTCTAGAAGTGCTATAAATAACAAGACCGCATCACAGGCTGAAAAGTAACCGGAGTTAGGTTTAGATTTTCGTTCGGGCAGCCTAATCGTCCTTATTGCGTATCTGCAAGGATTATTCAAAAACAATAGCGAAATTTAACTAGTATGGGTATCATTAACTGTGCTAATACGCGCGTATAGGCATCCAGTTGAGCCCAGAACCCATTTCTGGAAACGTGTCCAAAATGCTTTATTGTTACTGGAGTATTTTGAACACAGTTCAAGCCTGCAAGGCCTCAAAGGCTATCATTTTAACCGTCAATGAGTGCTGGTAATCTCCGATATGCGTATTTATCAGCGAATCGCGATAACTGAGAACGGGGACAACGTATGAGGTGCATCACTTAGTTTTAAATAAATATACTTCTGTCATTCATAGAATTATAAAAATAGCGTAATGTAGGAACCTAAAGCAATGTTTATTTTCAACCAGAGGCATCCTACCTAATATTACTGCATATGAGCAATCGTAGCAGTTCGCATCGAGGGCAATACAACAAAAGATGCACTTCTCAAAGCACAGGTCTTTTCAGAAGGTCTCTATTTTTAGATTCTACAGAATAGAAAATTATTGATCTATGTTTGAACAAACGTTCCAGAAAGCCCTCTATTCATTTGAAGGAACTTCCATTTATAGTTGCTAACCGATCGATCCTTTAAACTGTGTGTGTGTGTGTGTAAATCTCCTCAAGCAACTTTCTACTTCTAAAAGTCATTTAAAAATAGCTATAGCGAATTTATTATTATAATGTAATTATATTATAATTTAATAATCAAATTAATAGAGCTAGAGATATTTTGAGCTTGGCATTCTGCAGTAGATTAATGAAATGCCTAAGGTGTAGCTTCCTTAATCGGGCGATTATCGGCTTTTTTTTTAGGGTGACAACCTAAGCGCGTTACGGCATTAACTTAGTCAATGCAATTATTATTATATAATATATATAATAATTGTAAATTATTAACGTCTCCATAAAGGGCTCCTATATACAAAGCAGAAGCTTTGCGCTTACAGAAGCTATCGAAGCTTTCGATCAGTGACGGCAGTGCGAACGTGCTTTCATATCGTGCATTACATAGAATTTAAACAATGTATGCATTTTTAAAGTGTTCGAATCTGACGGCTAAATGTCAGTTAATTAAATGTTATATGAAGAAGTAAAGAAGTAAGCTTACCCCCCTTTCTCTTCTGCTTTCACGTATTTACTGTAGCCGTAAGCAGTATACAACATTTTACACGCATTAACTAATATGGTCTAGCTCTGTCTACTCTATCTACCATCAGTAGAAGAAACACAATATTCCCGGTTACCATACGCCTAGAATATTCTTAGAGAAAAAAAATATCTTAAACATTGGTTGTTCCATTGATTACCGTAATGTTATGTTTCACTTATATAAATTAGCATCCTTATACCATGATTTTCAGTTTCTGGCCGGTACGAAAATCATCCCCATTTCGGTACGACAAATGTTTCCCCGTTCCAGGTACATGCTCGTTAGCCATGACAAAGATGTCACATGGACGCTTAGTATGTAGTATGGTTTTAAATGTTTCGATCGCCTATACGGGATGCAGGGACCATCTGAAGCGTTAGAACTTTACAATTATCATGTGAAACATTACACAATGCTCTGTAAGACGTATAGAGTATAGCGAAAGGAAAATAATTGCTGCGGATAATAACAGTAAATTAATTAAAGATATCGCGACCCAAGAAATGATAGCAGTTTTCAAGTTATCGGTATAAATACAACAGGATTTTACTTGTACCCTGAGCTGGTCCATACGTAGGATTAGTTCCCTTGAGCCTTACTCATGTTCACTGAAGGCGACAGCCCTTATCCGCATTGCAAGGGTACAGTAAACTTTTTTTGCCAAACAAACGGTTATGACGAACACAATGACTTATGATCCTATAACGGAACTGTTGTGCAGAATTTTAAAGCATTCAAATCGGTACATAATTACGTTTAAGTATTATTAATATATATTTATATCTTTTTGAGATATTGTTTTTAACAGTTGTACTTATTTATTGTGTGAATAAGTGCTCAGAATCACTTGTTTGACATAATATCAGGATGGCAAAGCATATATACTTTTTTTTTAGACATGTTTTAGAAAGTAAGCACTTGAGTTGAAACAGGTACAGAAAAGCTCTATATATGAGCGAACAGCCGTATAAGTTGCCAAATTCAAAATAAGCTTTACAACTAAATTCGGATAAAGTTTGGATAGGTTAAGTTAAGCATTTATTATTTGGTTTCTTTTAATCGTTTGCAGGATAAGGTTAGGACGATGTTCTAAATATTTAGTCCTGATTGAACCCGGATAGGTACTCATCGTCTATTGGTCACCGATTGCGATCTCTCCTGAAGTACGTGTAGAATGTGGATTTATAAGGAGTGTAAGCTGAATTGTATCTGCATTCACTCTGCGCGTAACACGAAACGAGGACAGTTCGTGAATAAAGACGTTTATTTACAGAGTGCCGATTAGGGGTGCAGGCTCTATAAAATTGTACGTACAATTTTGATGTCATCCATTCACGACCTGAGGGTGTTTTCGCTATAACCGAGTGATCGATGTAGATGAAATACTGCTCACAAGAATCGGCGTATAATAACCTTTTACTATAAACCTGAATCATGAATCTATCAAGCTATTTTAGAAAAATGTTTGTTTCGAGGCCTAGTGCATACGAAAATATCATGCGCGACAATTTAGGCATGTCATAGACTCGAAGACGCTATTAATCGTCCTCTGGACAGACTTCAGATGCATTGAAGCTACATTGAGAGCGCACGAATTAGCTCGCTAGTACAGTAACTGAAGACATGTGAAGGAATGCAACTTACGTCCTAAAAGTTGACGGCTAACCCAGAAGCTTAAGTTTGCAAATCATGCGAAGCGTCGCACGTACACACGCTGTACAGCTGCTAATTTTGTACAGAAGATCATCTTTTCAGATCGGAGGTATTGTACCAGAATTTCACCCCATTTTATGGACAACCTTGTTGTATGGCGTGGGCCCCAGGCAGGAAGTATTTTCGAAGCGTTTGCTTTCACGTAACTGCTGATGGTTCTCGTTAACAAAAGATAGTAAAAGACGCTGTGTGGCCGAAGCTGAGCAAGCTCGATCTGGATAATATATACTTTTAAAGGGACTGTGCCGCTCGCTATTACGCATCCGAAACGCTGATATTACTGGAGAGGACACTTACCCACTAAACGCCCTACCCTTTTTATACCATTTAACATCACTAAATGAAATTTTCCAAAAACTAGATCTATACTACATGACTATCCATATCATATAGGTTGTTAAAGCTAGAAATGTTAAAGAGAGGATCATGGTCTCGTTTCGAACGTGTGCCGAGAGCCCAAGCCGGTCACCTTCGTGCCATTATCTTGATATCATAGATATTGCTGGGAAAGGTGCTGTTATCAATTATGGTTTTGAATCGATATATCGACTATGAATGGCTCTATAACTAAATTTACCGTTTGAATGCTTTGTTCTGACCAATAGACGTAGCCTGTTAGTATTTCCTAACAAACTCTATAAGCATTTTCATTGAAACGCGAAAAAATACGTAACTGATTTTTATGTGAATTAAAAACGTCCGCAAAAGTTTTTTAATTTTATTTAAAGTAAGCATTTTTAACTCTTTCTTGTTCATTTTACTGTACCGTTGATCTTTATTTCGCTTATATTTGTCAACCTATTTCGCGCCTCATTTCATTTAAATGCTACACTTTTCTTTACATAATTGATTAGATAGGGTACAGCATTATATGATCGAGCAGCACAGCATCTAATCTCACAAATTGGTCACATGGTTTACTTAGTATCAAAAAGATATAGGCTGCAATGAAAAGTGTCTACTGGATGATGGAATTGTGCTTGTTTGCCCTCTATAAATTAGTGCTTATTGTTCTACTGACAACGTGGATATCTCACTCAAGCTGACGTTCGTCGCCTACATGCTTTTGATCATTATAAATACTGTCTGCTTATGTCTGGCCTCGTTTGCAGGAATCCTGTAGCTGCGCCCGCTCAAGCGAGTCTAGCTGGGACTCATTTATAGTCAATGAATATAGCTTGTAGAAGGTTTACTTTCGGATGACGCATTATACGTTCAAACTAAAAGTTTACTGTTCTCTCTCCTAAATCCTGCAACCCTCAAGGGATTAAGTTTAATTGACGTTCAAACAACAGAATAAGACAACTTATTACGTAAATAATGGGCTGCACTCCTTGAGCAAAGCGCCATCAAGAAGCTATCAGTCGATACAATTTATTGGAGGAAAGTTTAAAGACATTTTCATGAGTTCAGCCGGTAATTAGGATAATAATACAGGTACATATACATCTAATACATCCTTAAGCTTATCTGCCCGCATATATCTCAAGGAGGGAACGACCCTTTAACGCCGGCGCAGAGTTCACTACGAACAAAGAGCCGTGTTAGCATTGACAACAAATCTTGCCTGGAAATAAAAGTTTATATATACAAAAATCATGGATGTTGAGTTTGTCAAAACGTAATTCGCTGTAACTTTTCTCCGAGTACGTTGCACTTACACGGTTTTGCCAAGCCATGTCAGAGGCTTCTGCGTAATCCTGGTAACTCTAGTAAAATTTCAATGACAATATCGATACACAACCATTTGAGTAGTGCCGAATAATAGAAAAGAAGTAGCCTGCTGAGAAGTCCTGTTTCAGTAATGTCTATGGGAAGAATAAGCATATGGTGCGCACAAGATGGTTACTGAGTTACAGCAATGGAAGCGTTAAGGATACAATACTAGCTAACACAGAAGAGCATGCGTATCAGGATACTTGGGCATTATCGCAGTTGGTCAGCTGGCTCGTATTTGAAGCCTTTGTCGCTAGAAAAGTCTGCTGAAAAGTGGTGATACATACTTTATCTACAAATCAGCAAGTAGAAAGTTACATTAATTCGTTTATCTATTGTTGGGCGATATGCTCCTAATTACACTATACTGCTCCACGCAAACATACTAGCTCAATTTAGGATCCAGATGGAAATACAATCTTACATTTTATATACGACACATTGATTATAAATCTAAATATAGTTCATAGAAATCCACCTAAATTTTGTGTCTGGCCAAGTTTTACATTTACTCGTAGACAATTCTATTATAGACATGTATATATTCCTGTGTGCATTACCACCCTAACTAGTAACTAGTCTAAATGACGGTGGCAATCTAATATTAACAGGTAAATATCTATACAAAAATACAATAGCAAGATATCAGGTAGGTATACGTAAGGCAATTCATAGGTGAAGACAACACTATTTTTATACCGAGAGAGTGCATTTCATCTGTAGATAATGTAATAAAAATCAAAGCCAACTCGGACAAAGTCCTTTAACAGATCGAAGGTTCTACTTTTATACCTTTTAAGGCGGCGAGAGATGTGGAGACTTATTGCAATAAAAAAAAAGTTGTAACTATGCAACGTATTTCTAACAGGCACCATCAATTCTATGAGTTTCTGATACTACGTTATAGGCGGAAGTATAATTGAGAATATTCAATAAGAACTAGTTATCATATCACACGTATGTCTGCACATCTATAAAATAAACACAGTCGTAAATTTCTCATCGGTCGCTCGATGAAGCGCCCTCCTCAGATACAGCTTGTCGCCGACCGCTTCTCGTTTAATGCGTTTGGTTTGTGATCCCTTATTTCAGCAGATTTATGAGTTATTCTATCTAGTTTATATCTACAAAGACTGTATCGGCGATATTAAGGTCGAAAATGCCCACCAGCGTTTCGCAAGCCAAATATTACCTGCGTCACTGAGAGCGTATGTCAATTTTACGCCTTTCCCACGTATCCTTTTGGATACGCTCAGATTATCAATAATTTTTTGCACTAATTTCTTTTAATTCTCTACTCCAGACCAACGTTTTTGGCATTCTGGTACTTTTCGTAAAAATTCATCACAATAAGTGCTCGTGTAATATCACAAGATGACTACCTGTAAAGCGTACGCGTTAACATTTCGTACTGATTATCTATTATCGTATACCTTACTACTTTATACTGGTTCTATATATATTGACTATGTCAACATAGTTTGTACCATTGATGAACGTAGCTATAGATAACGAACCAGAAAATATAGGAAAATGCAAAGGTTCAAAGGTACGTTACTCTCAATGCAACGATTTAGGTTGCCTGACACATTTGCAATATTTCGAAAAATGACAGATTTAGGAGGAAAATGAAATGTTAATTATGGTACTAAAAGCCATTGGAAAAACACCTACTCGCCGAACGCTTCCTTTGAGATAGAGATTCCCCGAAGGTAATTGCGGCGTACAATCGGGACGTAGCGTTTGGAAACAAGGACTCATTTTAAATAAATTAATAGGTTACTTGGATTCAATAGAGCGGCCATCATGATCATTGGGTTTGGGGCCCATGGGCCGCTTGTCGGGTATCAAGAATCAATGCTTCGTGCGAAAACTATTTATAGAGCAAACGCATCAAGAAAACTTCATAGAAGCGCCTGTCTAAACGTTGGAAACAAACTATAAGCATGTTCAAATAGTGACGGTCATCAACTCTATCAGCGTATTACCGAACTATATTATTCGAACTATTTATTTTTAATCACTATGGCATTATAATGTAACGTTACAGGAGTATTCAGGTGGCTCCATTGAAAATGTGTTGCGACCATTTGTACAGCTCCTGGTACTTTAACAGATGTAAAACGACCCCCGACACACCCTCCCGCCCCAGCTGTTACGCGACTTTTGCTTTACGCTATATGTCTAAATTGATAATTTTTCTTAAATTTTGATTTCTAAGACTACATCTGGCTTCAACAACATTTTTACATATTCTCTAGAAATGTTACTCCGACGGTCATGCTTGTTTCGTGCAGCTGTTATGTAACGCTAATATGGCTTCTATTTCGAACTTAAGCCATTCACTAGTCATTTTTTAGATATTAACTGCAAATAACTTTATCGAAAAGTTATTTGCATAAAAGTATGTGTCCAGCAATATTGGTACGCGTGAGCTTGTTAAAGTGCTGCCTGCATACATTACATGAAAAATCTCAATGGATACTAATTTAGCACTGATAGTAGGCCAAAACACCTAGAAATGCACGGGGGTTAAAACTGTCAAAAAGCTCAAAATGTGTGAAACACTTTAAAAATAATAACCATTGCAGTTTACCCAGGCGACCCAATTGGTATTTGATAATTTTCTTTAAAACTGCCTGTGATTTTCGTGTAAAAATCGCTAAGACGTTTAGATCAAATGTTGTGCCGGTCAAGTCTAAATCCCTTCAAGGGCTTTTCAGTTTGCCTAATCGTAATTTTCAGAAGCTGCAAAAAAGCTGACGATAACGTAGACTATCGACTTCGGGCAATAACTTTTTTGGTCTTGTCGACGCCTCGCAGAGTGTAGAAGGCTTAGATAATAACTAAACTTTTCTCCAATTCCGAAAACGACGCGTTGTTGTTTTCCGTAATGAGCTCACTGTTGTATTCTACAAAGAACTGACTTTTGTTCGATATTAGGGACAGCAGATGAATGGATGCAGGTTATACCTGCTAAGTTTTTTTCCCATCTGAACGTACCGCCTCCTGTATATATA